AGATTGGGTGCGCAGAGAATAGAAATCTAGGCAGACAGAAATCTAGGTAGATTCGAATGGCTCTAATACCATCTTATGATTTGGCCTGCCTTGGAGTTCTATTTGTCTGAGATCAGTCACGTAGAGAGATGTAGAAAGGTGGAAGAAAAAGAGAGAGAGAAAAGGAGAAAGTCTGGTTCGAACTGGAAGTCAATAAACCTAACTCCCATTCGGCCAGATATGTGCTTTTATTATTAAAATAAATGGAAAAGACATATGTGTCCTTATTTAAGTAAGGAGCACTGGTTCTAACATAATATTACAGATCAACAACCTTAATATAAGTATAAAGATAGAAATACCCCTTACGCTAACACATCTTATTCTTCTTTTCTCTTTCATCCCTATATGGGCATTCTTGTAATTGTACATATTTTTTAATATATAAGAGACTCTTTGAGGTGGGGGTTATTCATTCTTGACACCTCTAAGATTATTCTTGTTCTTTTCTCTATTCAGCCAAGAGTGTTGAGATGGTATCAGAGTAGGTTGCTCTCTGATCTATTTTCTCTCTTTCTTGAACCTCACTATAAGCAGTAATCCTGTCGTATTAGGGCTGTTTTGATCAACCCTTTTCTGTTCAATCTTCTTTGTGCAACCAGCAGGAGAGATTTCATTAGATCTCTCTTGGGAGACATTGGTTTGAGGCCAAACTTCAGATCTGGTGTTGCCTAGACCTGATCTATTCTCCATACAAACACCATCTGATTTGGTGAAGTTTTTGAAGGAGTTTTGGTCTTCTTCTTGGGGCAGCAACACTGTACAGTTTCCATTTTTGGACGGCAACAGCTTTGGACTTTAGATCCGGTGTCGCCTAGACCTCCTCTATTCTACCTTCAAACAACATTTGATTTGGTGAAGTTTTCGAAGGAGTTCTGATCTTTTTCTTGGGGCGGCAACACCGTTTAGTTTCCTTTTTTAGACTGCAACTTTTTTTGGACTTCGGGCCTTCTACATGAGCCTGTGATTTTAGTTTTTCTCTCTAGATTAAAGGGTTCTCTCAAGCTCTTCTTAACCCTACACTTAGTTTCTGGTTTGGAGATTTCTAAGGATTGTTTCGATCAACACAAGATACCTCATTGTTCTTGAAAAAGATGCCTGATGTGTTGGTAAATCACAGTTTTCTTTCAATCAGTTGACTCGATCAACCTAAAACCCTAGATATGGTATCGTCCTACGGTTTTCTTGCTTCCCATTTATTTGATTCCGACTTCAAATTCATATTTGAAAGGTTAGACTCGACAGTCTTAAATCTTGCCTTTTTTTTGGACTGTCATCTCGAGTTCTTGATTGCTGAATTTGGTTGTCTCTGATATCTTTGTGCCTAGACTGCTATTTTCTTGCTGAAGTGGAGCCTGATAGAGACGATATTATTCCTATAAAACTGGAAGGACCAACCTATGGAATTGACACTTTTTCTGTAGCATATGGGAGTAAGAAATCTACTACTAGTGGTGATTCTTTTGTTAAAGGTGATTCTTTGGCATCTATGGTTGAGGAAAACATTCAACAATTGGTAACATCTGCTATTTTTTTTTGCTCTTTCTGCTATTGTCTTACCTGGTGAGTTTTCTGGTTATTGTGCTTCTCCTTCTCATATTTGGATCATCGACTCTGGAGCTACCAACCATGTGACAGGAGCCTACCCTAACCAACCAAGTAACCTTATTGAAACCCATCACAAACATATTGTTATTGCCAATGGTGAAAAGTTAAACATCATTGGTAGTAGTGATCTGTCTCTTAAGCTTTCACCCACTGCATCTTTCCCTCTTACCAAGACCCTTCTTGTTCCTAATCTCACTACAAATTTGATTTTTATTGGCCATTTAGTTGATGAAGGTATCATTCTCATATTCTCTCAGGATGGATGTTTGATTTAGGACCGGAACACTAGGAAGGTGAAAGGGAAGGGGAAGGGGCGCATGTTGGGCCGTTTGTTTGCATTGGAGTTTGAGAAGTCTCAAACAACAACACCATCAGTTTATTTTAATTCCTCCATTTCTAGTTCCTTTCTAAGTCATAAATATAATGTTTGGGACTTATGGCATAAACATTTGGGTCATTTACATGCTGAAAAATTAAAATTTTTGTTTGATTCAGGCCTTATTAAGAATAGAGTTCCTTCCTTGCACACCTTTGATACATCTTATGTTTCTTGTTGCTTAAAGTAAGAGTCGTACCTTACCATTTCCTCACATATCTGAGCATGCAACCTCTCCGTTCGAGCTTTATACATAGTAATGTCTGGACTGCATTTGTCACTTTTCGGCTTGGATACAAATATTTTGTGTCGTTCATTGATTATTGTACCAGGTACACATGGATATACTTTCTTCGCCACAAGTTTGAGGTGTTCCCAACATTTAAGCTGCTTCATGCTATGGTACGGGTTTGGTTTCAATTACAAGTGCATATTCTCTGTTTGGATTCAGGGGGAGAATACACTGATGGGGATTTTTTATTCTATTTGAAGAATCATGGAATACAAGTGCAACAAAGTTGTCTAGATACTCCTCAGCAGAATGGTGTGGTCGAGTGCAAGAATGGACATATCCTTAGTGTTGTGAGGACATTATTGCAGGAGTTTTCATACTCCACCTTCTTTTTGGGTAGAGGCAGCTAGTACAACTATGTTTTTGATCAACTATATTCCTTCCTCTATCTTGGTAATATGTCTCCCTTTCAGAAGTTGTTGGGTCATTCTCCAGATTTATCTATGCTTCATGTTTTTGGATGTGTGCTTTGTTCATCTTCCCTCTCGTGAACGCTCTAAATTGTTTGCACAGTCTGTCATGTGTGCCTTTGTGGGTTACAGTCCTAACCACAAAGGATTTCTTTGTTATGATCCCTCTATTCGTTGCATTCGTATATCACGTAGTGTTGTTTTCCTTGAGCACATTTCCTTTTTTGTTGGAATTGCTAGACTGTCTGCACCGTCTATTTCTATTTTGCCAAACTTTGATTCACAGGAAACTCCACCTCCTTTTGCTGAGAAGGACCTTCTCGTCTTCTCTCGCAAGTGGTTACGTGCTCCAGCCCCTGCACTTGCGACTCTCCTTCCTCCCGGTTCAGATCATCATCTTACCACTGCTCCTGTTAGTGATACCTCTACTTCAGACACTCTTCATACTTCTGTTCCTCTTCATCGTTCTACTCGTATACCTCTACTTCAGCCAAGTGTGTTGACACATTTATTTGAACCAACCAAACCAATTATGTTGGTTTTGGTTCTGTGGTTTGTGTCCCAATTAATAATTGGGTTGGGACTGGTTCTTGCTATTCTAAATCAATTAAGACCTGGGTCGATATATCATTAATAATCATAGTTTTCAAGGCACCAAGGTGAGGCTAGGCGATAGGGGGGCGCCTTGTTGCCTAGTTGTGGCGCCTAGGCGATGGATTTTATTTTATTTTTATGTAAAACCATATATCCTAGGGTAGTTCCCTAGGTTCCATAACCATCTTTCCTTAATAATTATCCATAATTTTCATAAGAGAACTATAAATTTCATGTTTAAGTCTAGAAAATCAACATTTTATGAGAAGAAAAAGAACAAAGGAAAGAAAATTAAAAAAATATAGGGGCTGAACCCCTACTTTTGTTATAGGAAAAGAAGAAAAGAAAAGGTGGAAGAAGAAAATGTATTGATTAGACAAAATTTTAAGTTCTTCTCTTGCTTATTGGTTCAGGTTTTGAAATCTTTGAGGGTTCAATCAAGGATCAAAATTTCAATACGATATGTCCTGTATCAGGTGTATTGTATTGTATCTTTGGGGTCCTGATACACCTGTTTACAGGGACCTGTTTTTTTAAATAATATATTTATATATTATTTAAAAATGAAATTGAAAACCAAAGAATAAAAAAAATAGGGGGAGTCCTTGGAGGCTCTTCTGTGGTTTGTGCCCCAATTAATAATTGGGTCGGGACTGGTTCTTGCTGTTCCTAACTGATTCAGACCCAAATTGATTATATAGTTACAAATCTATAAAGGCTTCCTAGTTTTCTTGTAATATTTGTTATATTGTGTCTAAAGGGTAAATGTCATAAACAGTATATACAATCATTTTGGTTAAAAACACTTCTTTTATCAACATATTATCAAAAATGAAGTTCTAAGTTGTTATTACCATGGGTAATTATAGATGTCAAGTATAATTGGGTCAGATCCAATTATTCCAATTTTTTTTTTTAATCAGAAACGATAACTTTCATTAGAGATAAATTAACCTGAAATACAGAATTCAACCCTTATTAGAAAAGATTGATCCAATTATTCCAATTAGCAATTGGTTTGGTTCTGGGTCTATATTATAGAACCGATTAATAATCGGTTCAGAACTGGTCCAATTGACTACGAGGGAGCTTCTTAATGGCAAGCTGGGTGAAGTTACGTCAGATGCTCTGCAACCAGATCCAGTTGAAGGTATGCACTGTCAGAGGCCTGCTTCTTTTTCCTTGGTAAATCTGATAACATTGAAATCCCCTCCTAGGCACCACAGACCCCCCCTCTCTAATCCTCTTATATCACTCAATTCTTCCCAAAACTCGTTTCTTAACCTATACCCATTTGGTCTACAAGTATTTGTTAGAACCCACTCAAATCCATCTTCAAGAGACCTAAACTTGACAGATAATGTAAATTTACCCGTTAACTCCTCAATTCCTTCCACTCTATGATTTCTCCACATCATTACCAAACCCCTTGAGGCACCCCAAGAAGGGCACCAAGCCCAACTGACATTTCTGGTCCCCCCCAAAATAGGGTTAGTCATTTTAAAGGGTCAGTTTAGTTTATAGATTCTAGTTATAGAGTTTTTGAAAATTTGAGAAGTTGAAACTGCAGTTACACCATTTTTTTTCTTTCATCATATTTTTGGGGGTCAAAACTTGTCCTTTTTGCATTGTTTTGGTGCCATTATATAGGTAATTGAGTTATGCATGCAACAAGACTAAGTTTTTGTAAATTTAACATATTTTGTGGGAATTATGGTCATTTACTGATTAGGTGTTGGTTGGTAATGGAATTTAGGTCTTTCTATTTTATTTTATTTTATTTTTTGATAGGAAATGGTAACTTTCATCGATGAAATTAAATAAAGAGTACAATTGTCACCACCCAAATGATGGCTGGAGAATCCATAGACATTATCAGTCTTAAAAACAAGCCCAAAACAAAGCTTCCCTATTGACTCCTTGCTTAGCTAAAGTGTCAACCATTCCATTTGCTGACCTTCTTGCCCATCTAAACTGCACCCCATCTCTTTTGCTAAGCTCATAATTTCTCTTAGCGGTTGTCTGAAGGACCATGTTCCTGAACTTCTTGTTTGCATCCAACTTATTACCAGCTTGGAATCTCCTTTCACTTCTCTGTTGCATCCCCCATTTTTTGCCAGTCTTACAAACAAGCCCAAAACAAAGCTTCCCTATTGACTCCTTGCTTAGCTAAAGTGTCAGCCATTCCATTTGCTGACCTTCTTGCCCATCTAAACTGCACCCCATCTCTCTTGCTAAGCTCATAATTTCTCTTAGCGGTTGTCTGAAGGACCATGTTCCCGAACTTCTTGTTTGCATCCAACCTATTACCAGCATGGAATCTCCTTTCACTTCTCTGTTGCATTCCCCATTGTTTTGCCAGTCTTACAAACAAGCCCAAAACAAAGCTTCCCTATTAACTCCTTGCTTAGCTAAAGTGTCAGCCATTCCATTTGCTTACCTTCTTGCCCATCTAAACTGCACCCCATCTCTTTTGCTAAGCTCATAATTTTTCTTAGTGGTTGTCTGAAGGACCATGTTCCCAAACTTCTTGTTTGCATCCAACCTATTACCAGCTTGGAATCTCCTTTTACTTCTCTGTTGCATTCCCCATTGTTTTGCCAGTCTTGGGCCTTGGAGTAAGGCCTTTATTTCTGCCCTCAAAGAAGTTACTAGTAAGATTAGTAATGAATTATTGAAGTTATTTTAAGGGTTGGAGTCCTTACTTGAGTGTCCCTATGGGTTTCCCATTGGGTTACCTTAGCTAGTAGTTGGGATTTCTTTTGGGTCAATTTTCTAGTTGAAATTGGAGTCTGTAAAGAGAGATTTGAATCATGCAAAAAAATGCCAAGGTTTGAACTATATCCAGTCCACCCCTCCTATGACCCCAGATAGATGAGACCAACATTGGGTAATGGCCTTAAAGAGAGATCTGAATCCTTATGTTTGGTCTATAAGTAGAGTCATTGTAATTGAAATGAATGGAATGAAGTTTTCTTGAAGTTGCCTAAGGGTAAATAGTGTTATCTTTTTTTTCTTTTTTCTCTCTTTTTCTTCTAAAGTGACACCTGTTCTTCTCTTTCTCTTCTCTATTTGGATCCGAGTCTCTCTTTCCTAACTCAGATCCTTAATTCTTCCTCTTCTTTCCATCATATTCACCCCAATAGGACTTTTCTCCTTCATCCTACATCATCTAGGTACGTTCTTTAATTTACATAAAAATGGAAATTTCCTTGTTTCAATCATTTTTGTCCTTTTGTGCCACACCATCTCAGAATGGTTTAATATTTAGGCAGGCCCCCATAGATCTTCATTACCTTTCATCTTACTAAATTTCATCCAAGAACTCTATCTAAAAAAAGAGAATAAAAACCAACAAGATAGGTGTGTCTGGTTGTATTTAAGTTTTCTTGGTCACCATCTTGGTGCAATGGTTTTGTTTCCTTTTCCTTTTCCTTTTCTTCTTTTTATTAATTTTGTCATCAATAAAAAAATGCTTAACTTTTTCCTGATTTCCATATTGCCTCCTCAGAAATATTACAAATTAGGTGGCCTACAAAGAACCGTTTCTTTTTATTTCTTAATAAGAAATAAACAGTTGTCAAATGTTTCTCCTTGATTTTCTACTCCACCATTAGGTGTCTAGATTGTGGCTGGAATGAGTTCCATTTCATTTTTCTGTACATCTGAACTGCAGATAAAATATTCACACTTTGGCTTGCTTCTACGAACCGATTCTGTTATGGTATGTTGACCTATGATTAGCTGATGAAGGGCTTACCTGAGAAGACTGTGGCTTCAAAATTTCCTGCAGGAAGTTCAACTGTTCTTCAAAATAGAGATCTGGTTTCTACTAGTTCAGACCAAAAAATTAGCGACACTACATCCTCAAAGGGTTCTTTATGGTCGAGCTTATTTACATCTCCATCATCACTCTTTGAAACATACAGTGAATCATCTATTTCTGTAAAGAAGACATTTAACAGTAAAACCTATGGGTGGACAACAGCTTTGAAGAAAGTTTTGACTGTTGGCTCAATGAGGAGACTTCAAGAGCGTATATTAGGACCAAGCAAGACTGGTGTTTCTAGCTCAACTAGTGAAATATGGCTTCTAGGTGTATGTTATAAAGTTTCAGAAGAAGACTCTTCTGGCAATTTAGTTAATGGCAATGGATTGGTTGCATTTACAGAGGATTTCTCATCAAGAATATGGATGACATATCGTAAAGGTCAGTTTTTTGTTTAGTCTTCATTTGTCTATATTTGATTCACTGCTTTCATTACTTGCCTAGATAAAGGGAATGAAGGTGACTTTAGTACATTATTATGACAAAAAAGGAAAAGGGATAAAGTAATTTGGAGTCTTTCTGCAGGATTTGATGTTATTGATTCAAAGTTCACCAGTGATGTCAACTGGGGGTGCATGCTTAGAAGCAGTCAGATGCTTGTTGCCCAGGTACAGGTTCTTTTGTACATTTGAATTATTTATTGATTAAGCAGGATTTATTCATATAATTCAGGAAGTTCAGCCATTCTTTTCATTGAATCTTTCTGTTTTATCTTAAAAAAAAAACACAAAAAAAATTCTGTTTACTTGGTATTAGTCATGAAATTACTATATCTTTGCCTGCAGGCATTGCTTGTTCATTGTTTGGGAAGATCTTGGAGAAAACCCTTGCAGCCAGTAAGATGAATCTCAAATACTTCGATACCATATAAGTATATTGAAAAGTAGGATTTAGTTTAACTTTGAGAGAGAGAAAGAGCGAGAGAGTGATAAATCTCTTTTAATTTGCTCTACAGGGATGCTCATGATGATTCCTTTTTGTTTATGCAGCCTTTTGATCCGGAGTACATTGAAATCTTGCACCTTTTTGGTGACTCTGAGGCATCAGCTTTCTCCATACACAATCTTCTTCAAGCTGGAAAAGCTTATGGACTTGCTGCAGGTTCATGGATAGGACCATATGCCATGTGTCGTTCATGGGAAACCCTTGTTCGTTCTAAGAGAGAGCAGACAAACCTTGAAATAGAGAACCAGTCACTATCCATGGCTGTTTATATAGTTTCTGGTGATGAAGATGGAGAGCGAGGTGGAGCTCCAGTTGTCTGTGTGGAAGATGTTGCTAGACTTTGTTCCGAGTTTTCTAAGGGTCAAGTTGATTGGGCACCTATTCTTCTATTGGTTCCATTGGTTCTTGGACTGGAAAAAGTCAATCCCAGGTTTTTAGCTGTCTTGACCAAGTATCTTTTTTTATGGTTATTAATTAACCTTGCTTGCTTTGTTACCAAACAAAAAAGGTACCCATTTTTAGGAGTGGTTTTTGTAAGTTACAGATGAGGCCTGAGATTAGTGTAACTTTCTTGCTTGGTAATCTTTTCTGGGTTGGTTCTTCCATGGGTTGGGTATCTTGTTGTTAACATGTAGCATATCTATTTACTGGCTTCATTTGAAGATTTTTTATAGAACATTTGTTACTACTACTTTCTGGACTGCTAATAAAATTTGATTGAAAATATTCTGTCTTTAGGATTGATTACAAATTCACACATTTAACATGGTTTTTACAACTGGATGATAAACTTCTCAGATTCTATTTGAGGCTGGATTTTTGCAATTTAATATAAGACATTAAATCAATGTCATAGAAGTTTATAGCTGCATTTCTTTTAGCTATGTATTTTGTTTTTTTTTTTTTTTGATAATTGAAATAATTTTATTAATCAGCAAATAGACAATAGTACAAAGTCCCCAAGGAAAGGCACGAGTTGCAACCTCTCC